GATGGGAATGTAAATTAGTAGAGCCATTATGGAAAACAGTATAGAGGCTCCTCAAAATACCAGAAATAGATCTAACATATGACCCAGCAATTCCACTACTGTGTATAGATGTAAAGGAAGGCAAGCAGCGTGTTGAAGTGACACCCACACTCCCAGGTCCACTGCAGCACCATTCCTAACAGCCAAGACATAGTATCAATCAAATGTCTCTGAGAAACAAATGGATAAAGAAACATATATTTACAAATAGAATATAACTCATCCATAAAAGAATGAAATTCTGTCATTTGCAGCAACATGGATGGAACTGTGGGACATTATGTTAAGTGAAATAAGTCAACCACAGAAAGACATGTTCTCACTTCTATATAGAAGTTAAAATAGTTGATCTCATAGAAATAGTACAATCATGGTCACCAGAAGCTGCGAAAGGAGGGAGGGATGAGTGGATACAAAGAGGATGGTTGATGTACAGAAGTATAGTTGAGTAGGAGAAAGAACTTATAATGTGCTCCAGCACCGTAGGATAACTATGGTTGACAATCATTTATATATTGACATTAGATAATAGAGAGAATTTGGAATCTTTCCAATAAAAAGAAATAATAAATCTTTAAGGTTTTGGATATGCCAATTATCCTGATCTAGTCATTATATATTCTATGTATACATATATTGTCATGTCACACTGTACCCTACAAATATGTACAATATGTGTCAACTAAATATTTTTGAAAAGTAAAAATAAAATCCAACTTAAAAAAAATCAGAGAGGGATCTTGATTCTCAAAGATCCAAACAGAGGTAGAAATATTGCATGTTCCCAGGGTATGTGGGATCTTAAACAACCGAACTCATAGGACCAGGGGTAGAGTAGTTGTTACCAGAGGTTGGTGGTAGGAGAATGTGGAGATGATAGTACATAGGTACAAATCCTCAGTGAGACAAGAATAAGTTGAAAAAATCTGTAGGGGGCTCAATGACACAGCATGGTGAATATGGCTAATTATTGAGTATAGTACACTCAATATCACTGAAAGACTACTTTTCAAATGTTCTCATCACAGATATGTTAAATAGTTGAGGTAACGGACATGTTAATTGGCTTCATTTATTCATTTGACACTACATTAAAAAACATTTAAAAAAATTTTTTTTAGTTGTAGATGGACACAATACCTTTATTTATTTATTCATTTTTTATGTGGTGCTGAGGATCGAACCCAGGGCCTTACATGTGCTAGGCAAGTGCTCTACCACCGAGCTACAATCCCAGCCCTACATTCAAACAATTTAAAAGCACTTTGTGCCCACAAATATATGTAGCTATAATCTGTCGATATATAGTTAAAAAAATAGGGTGGAGGCTGTTGAGTTATGGCTTATTTAGGTCACAGAGTGATTAATTAGAAGTATCCAAGCCTATAACGGAGCACTTGGAATAATATGATAAAGATGGTGTCTCTGTAGCACTCATAACAGGAAGAGAGCATAGTTACATGCTGACAATTACTATTTCCACTTCAGAGAAGAGGAAGTTGTGGCTTAGTTCACCTCTTCTGGATCACGTAAGTGACAGG